TGCCGCGAATGTTGGCGGGGAGACGTATCCATGTGGCTGTGGTCCTCGCGGGCTGGGGCTGCGGGTGGGTCGTGGCAGGGAGACCTATCGGGTGCTTTTCCTTCACCGTCTCTCTCTTATGGAATAAATAAACTCAAAGAAAAAGAGAAAGAAATGGAAGTTTTTCCCAAAATAACTAAGATGTTCAAAAGTTGTAAGAGCTGAATCGTAGTAACTGCATGTTACCCTGCCTGTACTTGAGAGTACAGACATATATTTCTAATGAATAATAATAATAGTGAAGGATTGTTTTTCTGTAGGGAACATTTTTAGAGTAAGATTTTCGCAATAGGGTGCGTGTGCTAACCAGAGAGCGAGAGAGAGACAGAGAGACAGAGAGACAGTGGCCACGCAGCCATCTCTTCTCCATTCTCTTCTTGGGACTTTGGGCACACACACTCATACGCCCAGCTTGAGTTTTAAGTTGCCAGGAGTGGGACTTAAACTGCAGTTAACTACATGGGATTCCAGCAATGTAACCATGCCATCTGCTGGTCCTGAGAAGTTTTTTAAAAGCATGGCAAGGCTGGGACCAGCAGTTGGTGTAATGGCTATGTCGCTGGACTCTCACATAGTTGACCGTGGTTCGAGTCCCGGACCCGGTGGGTTAAACTCACGCCAGTGCGTGTGTGTGCGTCCCCACGATCCCGAGAGGAGAATGGAGGAGAAGGATTGCGGTGTGGCCATCCCCCCTGGGGGGTGATTTCTCGCTTTATGTCTCTCTGTCTCTCTCTGTCTGTCTGGCGAGCGCACGTGCCCTATAGCAAAAACCTCTAAAAAAAAAAGAAGAAGAAGAAGAAGAAAAGAAAGAAAGAAAGAAAGAAAAAAGAAAAAAGGCATGGCAAGGCCAGTCCTATGGCCTGGGGGTTAAGAGCCAGATCTTACATGGCTGGCTGCCCAGTTTGAATCCCAGCCCCCGTGACTTGAAAAACACTCTAGACATGCATGCGTGTGTGTGTGTGTGTGTCTAAAATCCCAACAGGATGGAGAATGGAGGAGAAGGGATTGTGGCATGACCACACCACACTGGGGGGTGCCCCTCCCTTTCTCTATGTTTTTGGGGAACACACATGTGCACCAGCCAGAAAGAAAAGTAAAGTGAAAGTGTGTGTGTGTGTGTGTGTGTGTGTGTGTGTGTGTGTGTGCAGGGGACAAAGCTCTGACAGCAGGTTACAGCCCCACAGGGATCCGGTCGAGCTCCCATGTGGATGGGCTTTGACGTCCGATGAAGGGCATGGTGGGAGGCGACACCGCCCACGTGACAAGCGGAGATTCTGGGGCTCAGAACCCAGCGTGGCCGCGTACTAGCTGCGTGACCTTGGGCAAATTAGTCCGTCTGTCTGGGCTTCGGCTTCCTTGTCTGAAAAACGGGGAGAACCACGTCCCCTACTGCTTGGGACTGAAGGCCTGTGGCCCCAAACGCGTGTGTTCAAGCCCTCTCCCCAGCGTGGCTATTTGCATGGGCTGCTAAGGGGGTAACTGGGGCATAGAGGTGCTGAGAGTGGAGGCCTGGCCCAGAGGCTCAGGTCTGCACAGAAGACGCAGCAAGCTCACGCCATCCGCCCCACACGCAGTCAGAGGAGGGGCCGCACAAGCACATGGAGCGGGGCAGTGGCCGCCACCCACAGGAGAGCCCAGACCACGGACTTCCCCATACCGAGACGCCCGAGGCCAGCTGTTCAAGGCACTCCCGCAGGAGCCCTGCTGTGGGGTGTGGAGGAGCCCGTGAGTGCAGCCCTGCTGCAGTGCACCTGGCGTGTGGGAAGGGCCGCACCAGGGGACAGGCGCCTCGAGCTCGGAGCCATGTCAGAGCGCCCCATGCTCCACACCTGCAGGGCTCACTCGGCCGAGCGTGGGCAGACTGGGCTTGGAAAACAGCGGGAGGGCCCAGCAGGTGGCATGGTGGCGAAGGCGCTGGACACCCCCACGTGGCCGACCACGGTTGGAGTCCCGGACCTGGTGGCTTGCTTCCTCACATTCCCTCACTCTCTCTTTGTATCTTTCTTTGGTCAAATTAAAATAAATGAATAAATGGGACCAGCAGTTGGCATAATGGCTGTGTCGCTGGACTACCACGTAGCCAACCGCAGTTCGCGTCCCGGACCTGGTGGCTTAAAATTCATGCCGGGCGCGTGTACGTGCGTGCCCATGATCCCAAGGGGAGAATGGAAGAGAAGGGATTGCGGCGTGGCCATCCCCCTGGGGGGTGATTTCTCGCTTTCTGTCTCTCTGTCTCTGTCTGTCTGGCGAGTGCACACGCCCTATAGCAAAAACCTCTCCAAAATAAATAAATAAATAAATGAATAAATAAAATTAAATAAATAATTCTTAAAAAAAGAAAGAAAGCATATCAAGAGACTAGTTTCAGGAAGACATTTTCCTCTGAAGCTAACCCAGGCAAGTGTGGACACACTTCGGCCTAGCTCAGGGTCAGCACTGCACGCTTGCATCCTCCACCTCTCAGAAGTGTGGGTTCGTGTTAGAGAGGTCCCCCTGCCCCTGCACCCCCAGCGAAAGCCTCCAACCAGCAGCAATCAGCTGCCACGGCTGTCTGCGGAGGGAAGATGAGCAGGGAGTGGCCGGGAGATGAAGGCGGCCTGGGCACAGGTGAGGCTGTGGGTTGGGACCTCGAACACAGAGGCGCCAAGCCGGACGCTGGATTCAAGGTAGTAAGTACTGCTAGAGTCCTCAAATGTTAGTCCTTAAATGGCTTTTATTGTTAATGTATTTCATTCACACGCATTTGGATCCTTTAGTCTTCAGGCAGTTATTATAAAAGTAAACTTGGAATGAAAAAATATATTTTATGGAAGGTCAGAGAACCTTGAAAAAAGAAAGAACTGCTTTCAATAAACTGAAAAAAAAAAAAAAGGTTTCAGTTTCAAAGTATCACCTTTATGGGGAGAAGAAAAAAGTTGCACCAACAGGGGAGACAGGTGGAAAACATAAAGAAATAGAGACAGGACCAGGAGAAGACAGGAAGAGAGGAGAAAGGGAGAAAGAGAAAGCAGGGAATGAGAAGAGAACTGCAGGGCCAGGAGGTGGTGTGGAGAGTGAGGCGGCTAGATCTCACATGGCCCACTGCGTGGCTCGAGTCCCAGACCCGTGGCTTGGAAATCTCTCCAGGCCAGCGTGCGTGCGTGCCCCAGATCCCTGGAGGAGCCTGGAGAGGGAAGGACTGCGGCGTGGCCGTTTCTGCCTGGGAGCTGATGCCTGGCTTCCTCTCTGGCGAGCGCATGCACCATATAGCAGAGACTAAGGGGCAACATTGGTTTCCAGGTGTCGGTGTGCGTGTTTGTTAAGATAACCTGTGAAGCTTCTCCAAGGAAAATAGGCCAGCCGTTTTCTCCATCTTTTTTCAAATTCACGTGAGCTCGTCAGTCAAGTGTCCACGCCCCAGCCAGCACCCAGACCCTGGACAGAACAACCTTCAGCCTGTGCGACAGATAGCATTGTGCTCCACGTAGCATCCAGTTCGTTCTTAGTAGAGTTCTGGTTTTTGTTTTGTTTTGTTTTTGTATAGGGCTCATGCGCTCGCCGGAAAGACGGAGACAGAGAAAAAGCAAGAAATTCCCCTGGGGACATGGTCACACCACCATCCCTTCTCCCCAGTCTCATCTTGGGATCTTGGGCACGCACGCACACACACGCATGTGCCTGGTGTGAGTTTTAAGCCACCTTGTCCAGGACTTGAACCACAGTTGATTACGTGGGAGTCCAGCAACATAATCATTATGCCACCGGCTGGTCCCCCAGCCTCATTTTTCAAGAAAATATACACATGAGGGGAGTTGGCTCACAGGGTTAGGGCCGCCGAGGGGACCCACAGCAGGCCACTGCGAGCCGTGGACGCCGGGATGCTTGTAGTGTGGATCAGTCCACTGGGCCGAGGGCCTCAGAGCCAGGGAAGGGGAAGACGGAACTCGGGCCACGGCCACTGGGGCGAGTCCTGTTTGAAGGCAGACAGGCTTGGAATTCCGATGGTCCGGACGGCAGAGAAAGCCTGTCCTGCTCCCTGTCACCCAGGCTCATCTACTTAGTTTTCATTTGCCAGAGGGCGCGTGCACTCACCAGAAAGAGTTGGAGAGACAGAGAGAGAGATGTATTTACCCTCTCTGGGTAAATAGAACTCTGATGACCAGGAAATAAATAACCTAGAAGTGTGCTATCGCTATTGCATTTTTAAAAGATTTTCACTGGAGCCAGCAGGTGGCATGGTAGTTAAGGCACTAGACTCCCCCCATGGCTGACCATAGTTCGAGTCCTGGACCTGGCGGTTTGGTTTCTCTCTCTTTCCC